CTATTTTAAAACGATTTCTTGTACAAAACAATGTAAATTATAGGATAAGTTAGCCAGTAATTGATAGTGTTACTTTTTATATTCTTTGATAACTATTTTTATTACGCTTGTAATATTAAGTGTCAATATTTTAAAATGCTTGATACATTTTTATTGTTATATAAATAATAAATTTATTATTACTAACACTAAAAACTCTTACTATCCCCATCTACAACAGTAAGCTACAGTAATAATTAATTAAATCGCCTTATTAAAAGTGCCTGGATGGGTCTATTGCCATATCGAGTAAGATTTGCATGGTCGGTATAGAAACGTTTCCATTGTAAGAGCAGTCACGACAGCCTTCCGGGTGTTCGGGACGCCGCCGCATCCTGCCGGTCGTCGACCGACCTTTAAATGCTCTGTGGGAGGGAAATGTTTAACTTTGTTAGACGAGCAATGTTTTATTCATTGTTATTGTAATATAAATGTTTTAAAAATAAATTTGATTGACATTGATACTAGTGAAAATATTTAACAACATTAATAAATTTACTATCATTTACTTTTATTAAAGACGGAGGTTTTTTTAAAAGTAAATGTTAAAATTATTTGTTTGGTTTTGTAACAATCACGTGAAACGTTACATCGTTACTGTAACATATCGGTGGTAACATTTGCAATTGGAACTATCGCTTGGCTTTCTCTATTTTAAAAAACAAATAAAACATTCAAATTGCCTTGCGCTCTAGAATATAAATCTTGAATAATACGACATTGTATTTACATAATTTATGTCCAGACATAGGCCTAATAGCTTTATGTTTCGATTATATAGCTTATACTCTCTATTGGTTCCGGTTTTCTCCAAATAACAGAATTGCAGTAGACAATATTTTATTGTAAAAGAATATTGAACCTGTTTACCTATAAACCTAATATTTTAAACATTGGAGTTTATAAGAATGGAAGTTTGTTTGTTTCTATGTGTTTCAAAATAGACACGGATGTAAAACATAGTCTGGACGCACATATATGATCAAAATCAAAATACACATAAACGATGCGGACGGAGTCTCGGCCAAAAGCCAGTATTTAATGTAAATAAATAAATAAAAACTCTTTATTGGACAAAAAATATATTTTCACAAAATTCATCGTGGCTCCGTATCCTGAACTTAATGTATTTGTCTCTTCTAAAGAAAATTTTAATAAAAACAGCTAGAACTTCATCAATTTAATATATTGAACTGGAATACTACCCGTATTACATTGTCATTTATGGCTATGATAAATGCAAATCGTTTTTAAAACATGTGATACATCATAGTAAAATTATATTAAAAACATTAAATCCCGTAACTTTGAAGTCTATCTCAGCCTGTACCTCGAGGGTATAGGCGTGCTTGTTGTTTTATTAACAAGAGGAAATGCAGCGTTGGATTCAAGCCTGCAAGTTAAGTGCTACTTGCCCGCAGCGTTTAGAACGCAGCTTTTATTTATAGACATTTTCCTCTGTCTATCTTTTACTTTTGCTCATCTTTTTAAAGGTTACAAAGTGCTAATAGTATGTAGTATTTAAAAAGTTTACATGTATTATATGTTTAAAATAATAATGTAAACTAGATACGGATTCCTTATAATTGTGACGCGTATATTTTCAGCTTTTTGATATGTTCAACTTTTTTACATACTTATGTAATGGTTCCATTGCTATTGTTTCTTGGTCTATTATATTTATGCTTATGTCTACGAAATAATTTAAGGCACAAATAAATAGCTAAAATTTAAAAAGCTTTTCAAACCTATCATATATTTTAAAATTCTCAATAGCAAAGTAGTGTTCATAGCAACTAGTAGCACTAACGGAATTACGAGTCACGTACGAACGGTACCGACAAACCGACAAATTAAATATAGAGCAAGTATTGTCTGTGAATCTTTTCAATACATCGCTGTTGAATGTTTCATTTTGCTCAAAGAAAAAGGCGATACACTATCTATAGCGCCATTCACTATTGATTTTATCTTGTTTCTCAATCCATTTAGATTTGGATTTAACTTTATCTGATGTACTCATTGAAGGTAATTGTTAAAGCTTGAGCACTGGGGGTTAGCACGAACATTTGCTAGAAAGTATTCGTAACGTCATCGATAAAATTCTTATGGGATGTCGGTACATTACGCTCGTAAAGGCAATAGTCGTATAAATTTTCATGCTAGACCCCCTAAACGTATAATAGATATTGTACTTTCGATTTTTTTTTTCGTTGTTGTTTTGGAAACATTGGTGCAAAAGTCAACATTCAAAACGGTAAATACCAAACTCTGTATTGGCATAGACGATTTTATAAACCATGGTTTACAGTATCCTGCCAATTAAGAAATTATCTTAGTGCGGTAAAAGCCGCAAGCTTGTTCTGGCTTTATCACAGTAAATGGCAGTAGGGGGCGCTTTTAACCGCTCGACCAACGTAACGACTAGCGTTGTATTATGGGATATAAATGACCACAACAGCTACCTGATCGCGTAACGTCGTGGGGAGCTGTAGTTAATTGCTTGAGGTCTTATTTAGGTCACCTGGTCTTCCGGAATGTGGTCCTGGGTGACAGGTTATAAAATAACTGTACCAGCTATCAATTACCTATCAGTTTGATAGGAAAGTGATTTATAATCTCATGTAAATCGGATCCCGATACATTATTTATGAATGTATTGTTAAAGTATTCATAACTTTACACTATAACTTAAGTTAAGCGTAGGTTACTGCCAAAACATCTGTCTAAATAATTATCATGTGTAAAACAGATAACAAAGATATTTTAGCAGTGGGAACCTATGGTAATTTTAACAATACTACAAACACAAATCGCAGGTTAGCGTTTTTAAAAAGAAATTTTACTCATTAGCTAAATTGGAATAGATTAGAGCGTTATAAAAAATATTACCATAACATTTAATAGTCAAAAGATGAAGTTATTAAATAATATAGAAACATTAAGTTATAAAACATAATAATGTACAGTTCCATACACAAGTGTGTAACGCCACACGCACGGGGCAATCAACTCATAATTACTGTGCTCGTAACCTAATGTGTTGTTTTGATATAATCTAATACATTACAATTATACACGACTATTAAGATGTTTTTATAAAAATTTTAAATACACAAAGTATAATTATAAATATATTACATTGATTTTCAAAACGGTTTGTTGGTTAACCTTGACAGTTTAAACACGTCTGCTAGCCGTTCCAAAAGTTGCCATTTTAATTCTAGTGCATTACTATAAAACATCTGAAATTGAATTTTATCGTCTTATCACTGTAGTAAAACGATTACATTGTACGTTGCAAAATCTATTAAATTAGGTCCTGTTTAAACATCATAAAAATGTAACAACGTTAAGTGGTTTGAAGTAACTTGTCGAAATAAAAATTATCAGCCGTGTTTCAACCACTTTATCTATATCTATGCTAATATTACAAAGAGGTAAGTTTTTTATTTATTTATTGAAATAACTCAAAAACTGTTGAACCGATTCCAAAAATTCTTTCACTATTAAAAAGCTACGTTATCACTGGATAACATAGGCTATTGTTTTTTTATTGATTTTATTATAAATATTAGATAAGTTAAGAAAAGTTCCATCACTTGTGTACAACATATTGACAATTATATTTAACATAGTTATAGGCTTACTTACTTAACTTAAAAATCCCATATAAAGAAAGTTTAAGAACTCATTTGACGATGAACACATATTCTTTGGATGTTATCATAGCCATAATGGATTTAATACTTTTAAATTTCGGTGGTCAGTAATAAAAATCATAACTGTATAAATTTCGTTACGTTTTCTATCCAATTTTACGATTTAACTGCTTCTCGTAGATTTGTAAGCCGCAAAGAAAGTAAGCACCTTATTACGTTGACCACAAAATGTAATCAGTTGTAGAAATCATTTTGGTTATAGCACAACCTCTCACTATGGTCACAATATATCATAAGTATTATAATTTTCATACCAATTATGGGGAACGAAGTTATTCCTATCAATCGAAGTGATTTGAAATAAATACCATATGCATGGAGCGTAACAAATGCAATATATTAACAGTAACGCTATACCTACTGTGTATTTCAATAATGTACCAAGGTGAACATTCTAAGGAAGTTTTGATTTTTATACCAGGAGGCCAACCAGCACCGGGAATATTGAGATGGTCAATGCCAGAGGAATTGCAGATGCCTTTGAATACGATCAAGTAGCGTAGTGTTTAGTTAGAGATTCCTACAGTACGGGTCTGCTTACGAAATTTAACATATCTAAGTTTTGAAAGAGTTATGAAAAAAACTATACTCATCTACGTAATAGTAGTAGGGGTTATACAAAACAGACCGATACTCGAATGAATCAGTAGTCGCAAAGGCCATAAAGCATTTTTTGTTGCTAGTGAAAGTTTGGACGAGTTCCCGTAGTAACGCGAGCTGCACAATGGGGTATAACGCACCCGAACGCATACTAAACGCTTTTTCTATGACAATTTCTAAAGCCATTGCCAGGATTTCCTTTGACCTGAAATACAAGTGTCGCAAAGAATGTGCTGCCATCTACGAGTACAAGCATTGTTTTCGACGGAGTCATTGTGTCACCAATATAAAACGTTTTCGAATAGAAAATTTTAATAGAACTTTTTTAATTCAAAACAAATGTTAACTGTTTCAACTTCTTCTTCTTCTTCTTCTTTAGCTTTACAGCCCTTTGTGGGCCTTGGCTTGGTCAAGCAATTTTTTCCACTTCGGTCTGTTAGTGGCTACCGATTTCCAGTTTCTTATGCCAACATTCTTTGCGTCACGATTTACACCGTCTATCCATCTCAACTGTTTCAACTAGTATATTTAAAATAGATTTAAAAATGATCATTAAAGCTCTATGAATACAAAAACGCTTACAAGCACCATAGTGAATGATACTCGCAAATATGTGCAATGTAATAAACTAAAACTTACTATCAGTGAGGTGATTGAAGGCGGTGACGTCATCATTAAGTCTGCCCTGCATGCGGCGTAGCTTGGTGCTGAGGTCGCGTGTGTGTAAGAACAGGAACAGTGTGCAAGATACCGCCACCAGCGCCACCAGCTCACTGGTCCTGAAACAACAAATACAAATTTATCCAACACTGAAATCTATATCCGAACTTGAGATCGATCCGAAAATAAATGTCATTACTTATAATGAAACGGTTTACAAATAATTCGATTAACCTCTAAACAGATAACGTTTTACGATTGCTCTTATAGGAATAATTATGTATAAGAGCGCGTGCAAACCTATGACTAAACTATCGCACAACTGTTTAGTCCCGCTTTGTTTCTTATGAGCTTATATGAACCTACGCACACTAGTTTTTTAGTTGTGCAACTAAACAGTAGAATTGGCTGCGGAACAATCGACAATCGCAGAACAGTTGTGCGCCCCCCTAATAACCTGATTCATATAACACTTTCAATAAAAAATTAGCACTTTTCTGTGAGAATCATGTCAGGAAGTTCATTAAGATATCATTAAAATATTTTAAAGCATATTTAAATAAAAAAAAAGTATATTTAAATAATTAACATTCTGATATTTCAAAGCGGAATATGCAAAACTGACCTGGTTAAATATTATTTTGGTCCTCGAAACTGGAATAAAATGATTGTGCAAAACATATCAGATAAAATACTGTCGTATTAATGCATTTATGTTAATTATATTGATGTCCAAATACAGATTGAAATTAGAATTTAAATAAATATACCAGACTACTGGTATTTAATTATATTAATGATGTCTTAATCATTCTGTAAAACACGATTTAACGGTTGACTTATCTGCCAAAATATCGTAATGTTCCTAATAATGTAACAAAAAAATGTCTTAAAAATGTAATCAAGTACACTGTTTTCGGCTAAAGGCAATGTTCAGTAACACACATTCAGTAAACTGAATGCACTTTAAGTACATGCAGCATTTCACGCATATTTCATAACTACCGTTAAATGAGCAAAGGTGTAGGAGCATGTAATTAAACATTTCAACAAGTTCTCATAAAGACATGCCTAACAAATCGTAAGGCAGCTTGTGAACTATCTTTAGAATTTGTTACAACAGTATTTATGGTCTAAGTAAATTATCGCAATTAGTTATAACTGTGGACGGGTTCTAAATTATTTTAACACTACTTAAAGTTGATTTTTCTAAATAAATGCACTATATATAAGCGCTAGATCCGACACTTGCGTCAAAACTAAAATAAAATTCTACCTCTTCACTTATCTAAAATAAAAATACCCACCGTCAATAAATTAACTAAATAAAAATCGAGATCGAAACGTATAATGTTATATATACTAAACATGAAAAGTAACAGACATTTTAACATAGTATTAAATAAATCCAGTACTTCTACAATCCATAAGAAACAGTGTATTACTCTCAGTAAATCACCGGAAGTACATTACGCAAGATGTTCTCCCTCTTGCTCCGACTCGGTAAATCTCAAACCACTTCCGGTCGATGACTTTCATTATTCACATAAAACAAACAACAGTTATGTACAGCTATTGTACAAATGTTCAACAAATAAACATATCCAAGACGAATAAAAAAAATACAAAATGTTTGACCATGTATAACTTTAAAACGACTACATTTTTATTAAACTTTCTCGAATGAATGAATATTACTCAAGAATCGCGTTAGATTGAATGATTATAACAAATTCTTTTATTTGTTTATCTGTTGTCATCTTGCATATTATTTAGTTGTGCAACACTATCCATAAAATTTGTACCGAAATATTAGATATTCACACACAATAAGCAATAAATAATATTTATCTATCGCGGTGCAGGTTACAAGCGAAGAGAATCGATCCATCTTTGATGGATAACGGTAACATAACTCACAGATATTCATTCTCCGGCCATCATCGAATTATATTCTCCTACCTTATATAACGTATTACGTAACATTACAATACATCTTCTATATTTAGATGTATTCATTCTAATAAACTACCTTTCTAAGCATAAATGCATTTACCCTCACATTTGTATCCATAACCCATTTATGTCAAAACATATTAACGGCCACCAGTTGCTTAAATAAATTTATATTATTAGTTAACAAATTTTAAATATTTTGAAATGTTTTGAGATTGCAAATTTTAAATGATTGCAATTGTGTTATGCAAAATGTATAATGATCACTGATTAATGAAACAAAATAAAACTTATTACAAAATAACATTCTAATCGTATGTTTAAATGGAAAATAGTTGTCAAATTTTGCAACAGCAATCTGCATTCTAGTGCAAACATGCACTTAAAGACGTAAACTTGTAAAATCTTTTTGAGAATGCGCATTGACATTTTTTTTTATATCGTGAAGAGGCAAACGAGCAAGCGTCCACCTGAATTTGCCGTAATTACCGCTTCCCACAGACATTCACAAAAGCAGATGCGTTTAAAAATGTAAATAACAAAAATAAACTGCTGATAATAATACATACATTTGAGCAGTAAAACAATTAAGTAGTCCAGTAGTACTATAAGTAAATCCCTAGCACTAAAAGTCTGTAATTACCTTCGCTTCTCAGACACTAATGTAGGGTCTAAGCACATTTTCTCGTACGAATGATGACTTTGAGAAGATCTTGCAACCTTACATATATTTAATAAAAGGTATAATTTTATGGAGGCACTAGCTTTTATTAATTTTATAGCTACGTTCAATTAGACATAATAATAATAAGACGAACAGCCCATGTGTTTTCGTGTCTTGTGAAAAACTAATATGTATTTTGTTTTCAACTTATTGACTTAATTTAACTTATACGATTTTCGGTTGCTGGTTAACAAAAAACCAGTGCACTGCAGATTTTATTTTAGCATATTGATGATCGTTGTCTATATATTTAATTTAAAAATGAATAAATCAATTGATTGATTTTTAAATTTTTTATTAAACCCAATGAAAGAAGTATTTGCTTATTATTCTAATCGCTCGATTACCGTGTGGCATCACTTAATAATAAAAAACAAACGCAGTTCAAGAAACCTATAATAGAACGTCTGGCAGTTAACTCTTATTTTTTTTCTCCTAAGAAACCCGAGTTGACTAGAAATAGAGTCAATTAAATTGGCATTCCGGAAATATAAATGTACGGCCAATAAAACTCTAACTTAAGAACAACTCGACTTCGAGTTGCGTTACAGCTATTTGTACTGCAAATAAATTCAAGCATCCTTTCATTAAACTGCAGCTGGCTTCTTTAAGTACAGTCGACGTCGTTCGTGGTGTGCACAAAGGCGCAGTCGTTTAAACATTTTTTACGCCTTGAAACGCTAAATGAAACAAAAGTTTAACTTCTCTTTGGTGTTGCCGGTGTCCATGTGAGTTGTCCCCATGTCATATAGCAAATAATGTGCTGGATGTAACGTAATGTGTACATTACACACATTACGTTTAATTTGATTAATACGTCATTAGCGAACTTTTGGCATATTAGCAAAAAGGAGCGAGAAGTTAATTACGGGATACGTGGTATTTATTGTAACTGGAACACGGCGAACGAAGGTGACTGTACATATCTCCTTTTCTCACGCTGCCCGTTCGAAGCAACGCTAATTTGTTCCTTTCCCTTTTAGTGAACGTTTTAAATGTAAAAGTCAAGTCCTTTCACCTTTGAGAAAACGCATTGACTAACATACGTAACCAGATTAAGTTTCAAGCACAAAATAATATTGTGTAACAGCTGTATTGAAGAAAGTGATGGTACATCAGATGATTTTATTACCAACTGTTGCGCAAACAGATATCGAATTACTGAAGTATACGAATGACACTTCCTAAATATACCCTTAACATCTTTAATTTCTTACCGGGGTAAATACAACAATCAATTGCTGTGAGTGTCCACTATCTAAACCCCAGTTATAGCTTTCTGGTTACCCCTTATCGTTCGATGTTCACAATAAAAATAAATAATTTAGGATACTTTCCAAACCCAACAAACGTAGTTAAATTTTACTCTAATTTTATATAGTTTATGGTAAACAATATAACAAATTAACCTAAAAATAAAACAATAAACAGTTCGCTTGGTCGAAGAGATTTTTAAAACAAGATATTAACAGGTGAAAGTGGAATGCGAAACGTTAAAAAATTCTTTACAAAATTTTGCACAGCCACACCGGAGCAATTATCGTTTTAAAATAGCTATTGAGCGGTTTTTTATTTATCCTGGGAATAAATAGGAACAATAAAGCTAGAGAACAACAATGAATGTTTTACCTTGCGAATAAAACAATGCCAAGACTGTTACGGTGGCAATAAATTTAACTACAACGAACATCTGATCTGACGCAAATATTTCAAGACTTACAATTACAATTAATTCAGCAAAAACTTATTTGTTGCAGTATATACTAAAACCCAGCACACACCTTCAGTTTTAATCGTACAGTTCGATTGTTTAGTCAAATCGATGCGGTACAAACTGTAGGTGTATAGCGGGCTTAAAATTTGCCATTCCGTAGCTCAAGAATTATTGAATTGTTTTACTGTTTATAAATATAGAAAAAACTTGTTTTCCAAAAACTGTAACTAAAATTATATTGGTGTTTATTCATAGGTTAGGCTATAAAGAAACTTATTGTGTTATAGTAGACAAAACTTAATAATGTTTTAATAACGTATTATAACAACAATCTTTACTTACTTTAGATGTAGAAGCCAACATACCATAGAGCATGAAATACGAAAAACTAATTTTATTTAATCTGTAAAATGTGGTGCAGTGTAAAAATAAAGATAAAAGTGTTTCTGATTTTTATACCTCATTTAATTGCGGATGTTTGATGTCTGTGAATCAGGTCTTAACCTAAAATTAAATCAAGCCTTTAAAACGAAATGTGCTAATTAAAGTTATCGTTCAAGGGGGTTTTATAATTAATTTGAGCGGTTCTCTAATGGAAGCCTAATGGAATATTTATTCCATTTTAATGTTTAGTTATTTTAACCGTTTGATAAAGGATTAATTTTGTTTTAATTATTGAAGTACGCTGCGTATACTCTAAACTTGTCATAAAAAATTATATTGAA